GACACCTTCCTGGATGGTCTTTTGAAGATTCTCACCTCCCAAAAAAAAATAAAATTATTATCGGGTTTTGAGCTACCGTCGAACATATTTAAGTTTTCCAGTATTGTATAGCGCTTTTTTTAAATTCAAAAAATATATCTACCGAGGAGAAAGTGGTTAAATGTCGGTTCACTTTCAAAAACTCGTTGACTTTAAAAGTCAAATGTTTTCTCTAGCAAAAATACGAGAAGCGTCTCAAAGGTAACTTGAGCAGATAGTCTAAGATTTTTTATTAATCCAATGTTTTTTTACTCGTAACATAGAAATTCCGTATTTTGCTAGCATTACATTTATTTTTATTATATTATAGACATCCAAGTTCTGATTTGCAACGGGTAGATACTCTATTAATCAAACCGGTTGCCCTCTAAGTAAACTTTTGATATAGTAGAACTTTTCACTATCTGATTTTAATTTGGAATTGTTTAATACAAGCGAAAAAAAAAATAAATCAAAAAAGGATATTCTTGTGGATCCGCAGAAAACGGTCTTATATTAATATCAGGCAACTTTACATTTGAAACACTATCAACTATTTAGAGAAATTTTCAATTAATTCCTGCAATTGGGCTAACGCGAGTTCAAATCTCTCACATACAGACTCGTTTTTCTCAGTATCGGACGCCATTGAAACTGGATTCTTTAACATGTCTATTTCACTGTTTTTTATTATAGTTTTCGGATCAATTATCAAATTGAATTCTAACTAAATGTTCAGTGAGGCTGATTTCACTATTATATGTACTGGTACTGTAGCGCTACTACTGTACCGCTGGTTCTACTTAGCGGAATGTCGTTTCTATGTTAATAGTGAACTACTGGCAACACTAATGGTTTGAATAAATGAAGTGTTTAAATTATAACTGCGGTTTTATAACACACTGATTACTATGAATGATTGGCTTAATAATATTTATGAAGAATAATGCGATGCGAACTACTTAGTTACAAATATAATATATTAATAAGCGGAGCGAAGCGAATATTTTGAGAGCTAGCGATTTTAGCTTACAAGATTTTGCGACCGACTTCTGTGATGGCTTTTTCTTAACTAACTGGTTATACCCAAATCATATAGCAGGTAGTGGCGGACTCTTACCCCAAGAAGTGTCGTTAAATATCTTCCTTTATTCCTTCTAAAAATTGCAATATCGGCATGGTTGAAAGTCTATATTGAGTGAAATGGAATTTCACCAAAGAGATCAGAAATTCAAAATCTAAGCAAAATTTATAATTATATTATTTCTCTATAATTTAAAACCAATCAAATATCACATTTTTAATTTAATTTTCCATATAACATTTTTTTCATGTATCTATTAATAATAAATAAATCTTCTTTAATTGTCAAAAACAAAAATTGTAAATTGTATTTGTAATTGGTCGCTATTCTAACTTATTCATAATTCATCAAAATTCAATGGTTTTTTATTTAACTAAATTTTTGAAAATTATTTTACAAAAATTTAAGAGAAACATTTATTAAATAATTGACAAACTAAACGTTTTAAAATAGTATTTTTTATATGTGCAACAGCATAAGATTATTAACTAAAATAAAATTAGGTAAAGAAATAATAAATAAGACTTACTCACAATCAATTTAATTTAACTATCCGACGACCGGTTTCGCTTTCTACAATATGCAAAGCATCTTCAGGTCTCGATACAAAGTTAAACAAATGATGCCGGTACTCTATTAATATCCATCTATTAATAGAGTACCGGCATCATTTGTTTAACTTTGTATCGAGACCTGAAGATGCTTTGCATATTGTAGAAAGCGAAACCGGTCGTCGGATAGTTAAATTAAATTGATTGTGAGTAAGTCTTATTTATTATTTCTTTACCTATTTGAAATGGACTCACACAAGTAACACATTCATGATTAAAGTAAAATTATTTGGTGAGTTAATCCATCTAAGATGAAGACCAACTTAGTATTAAATATGAAAAGTAGGGTTATAACTTTATCACAACCTTAATATAAAACAGCCGGTCTTATAAAACTAAAAACAATCCTGTTAGAAAATTTCTTCCCAGCGAACCTTCTAAATAGATTTTATTTTTGGGGTCTCACAAGTCATAAGAACAAATCAAACAGAAGTTTAAACAAACAACTAAAATACATTGTACCATTCTTTACCATATATTCCAGGTTTAACAAATTAACTACTAAATACATTTAAGAGAAGTACCTAAAAAGATTAGCCGATTACCTGATTACCGAGGGTGATTGCTGATTGCCGAGACGATAGGATCACAACAAATTGTTGCGATCCTATCGTCTTTAACGATCTCCTTCAAATGCACGTATCGTTCAAATGATGCTAGCCTCTTCTCCTCTCAATAAACTGAATCTCTCGTTCTGGCCGGAAAAGTGACTCTTGGAATATAAGTATAAAAATATAACAATATTTTACTGGATCAGCTTCTGTCAGATACACTTACTCCACGAAAACTCACAAACATGCACTTCTACTGCTTATTACCTCTGGGGAACCACCAGAGAACAATGACTGTTCGCCTTACACCCTTGGAAAAACAACTTATTATCTTTTCTCTCTCAAAAATCTAGCTAAACTCTCATTCCTACATACCTATTCCACTTTTTTCAATCTCCTCCAATCAAAGCTCGTCACACTTATCCCCATCTACCATTTAGATAACAAACAACAATTTTACCTACAATTATAAATTTCCTAAAAACTATTAACAAGCTAATCGGTTTCTACACATTCTTAAGAACTAACGGAGAAATATATTTTCTAAATATTTCTATTCTATTGTCTTATTGACTGTATATCGACGTACAAGTCTATTAGGAAAACCCGCTCGCATTGTTCACGATCTCATTAAGCTCACTCACGTCACTCGAATATATTTTAGAAAGAAAATAATTTATGCATATCTTTAAATTTTGTTTACTACAGGCAATCCAGGATAATGAACTTTCATTTCTTCGAAATATCTTTTATAGTTTATTAGTTGAATTATTTGAATTATTATCTTTTGTACTTTGAAATATATTAAGAGCAAACCAATATTATTTTCAATTTTACATAGCCTAACAACATATATATATATATATATATATTATATATATATATATATATATATATTATATATATATATATATTCTGAAAGATTTAATCGGTTAATACAATTTAAACCTAGAGTTAAGATTAACACTATTACACGAATTAATATTACACTCAACGTCCGGGTTGAACCGCGTCGACTATCATTGCGCCGAGCTTTCGACATCCTATTCTATGTGTTAGTGCAAACATTTCTGATAGTAGGATTTTAGTTGACGGATGGAGCGCTGGATATATTCTTTATGAGAGGTCGAAAAGTCAAAGGTAGCCGTATGCCGTCATCTCATTTATTGAGACAATTTGGCCTTTTTTCAATTTCTAAGGCTTTTCGGATAATTCTTGGTTTATAGAAGCCAATGGGGGCTATAGTTCTAAAGTTTTCAAAATCAATTTTGTGAGCTGTGTGACGGTGATAAAAGCAATGCTACCATCATCCTAAACACTTCCTCTTATATTAATAAACTCTCAAATCGCATTAATACTCCAGACTACAGACCAATTCCTAATCATCCAACAACCTATCTGGAGAAAACAACAAACGCCATTATCAATAAAACCTCTCTTCCTTTTGACATAAAACAATCCATAATTCCTCGCGAAAAGTCTTCCAGAACACTTCGAATATATCGCCTACCCAAAATTCACTAACCCAATATTCCTCTACGTCCCATTTTCAGTGCATACAACTGCCCTATACAACCATTGGTCAAAACTCTGCACTCGCCGAAAACGCTTCATGCTTCGTCAAAAATTATTTTCATTTTATCGGACTTCTTAAACAAGAACCTCTATCTGACCATCAGACATTCTACTAAGTTTCGATATCGTTTCACTCTTTACAAACATTCTCTGAAAACTAAATACAGTATCTAGCAAAACCACTTATCTCTCATATAACATTGTATATCCAACACTTATTTTATCTTCAAAAATAACTTCTACAGGGAAATAAATGGTGCCCCAATGGACTCCCCACTATCTCCAGTAATTGCCAATATCTTTATAGAAGACTTCGAGACCTGAGCACAATCCATATCAATGCCCAAGCCCACATGTTGGCTACGATATGTTGACGATACATTCGTCATTTGGCCCCATGGCAGGGATGCGTTGGTGTCTTTTGAACCCCATCTGAATGGTATACGTACATCGTAGTATCCAGTTCACGGTGGAGGTGGAAACTGATTAATCCCTACCATATCTCGACGTTATGATAAAGAAAAACCAACCCCAACGTTTTCATCACTCAGTTTATCGATAACCCACCCATACCAAACATTCACAAATTAATTCAGTCATTAATACTCTTTAACTGGGAAGAACAATATTAATACTCTTGTCTCCAGATCAATACGCCTTTGCGATGATGCAAGTAGACCCGCTGAGCTTTCTAGTTTAAAACAAGCCCTCATCCAAAAGAGTTACCGCGAAAATCACATCAACAGGAGCATCCACAGAGATGAATCTCCCACTCAATCTCAACCCAAAGAATTAGATCCTCATCATCCGAAAGCTTTTCTTCCTTACATCGAAGGTGTCACTGACAAAATCGACAAAATTCTTAAATCAAGAGAAATAAAGACAATATTTACCCCCCAACAAAAACGTCCTGAAAAAAAGAGTGCAACAGTAAGTGTATTTGGGCTATTAATAGTGAAAGGTAGAAATTTTTGTGTAGTAGGTACGTTTCTGATAATGAATCTGTCAAAAGATTCTCGAGCTGAGCGAATGGACTATAACAAAATTGATCACAATGTGTTTATAATTTTGAATGTTATATTTTGTAATTTAAACTTCCATATTATAGACCAAATTTGCAAATATCCCGATACTTAATATCAAATAATTTAAAAAACTTACCCCAAAACAAAAAATATGCTGCCAAGTGTAAATAACAAAGCAAATTTTCTAGCTTTGAACACAAGTACAGGAATATATATTGAGGACATCAAAAAACATAAACAACCAAGTGCAAGGCACACTGCAAAGAAAACTATTCGTTGAAATCTACTCTAAAAAAGAAAGACACATATAAAATTGAATATATTACCAGTACCAGTCTGACTATATAATTAATTAAAAAATTTATTTTTAATTTTAATTTGGTACTAGTAGTTCACTAAAATATGTCACTTATTTTTAAAACCTTCGCCATTATATACCATGAAACAACAAGAAATGACACTACTGACAACCCTTATGCCCAAGAAGGGTAATTCCAGAGATATGTAAGAGAGGGGATATGACATAGGTGAAGTAGATGGGTTCACTTCCGCCATATTGGATAGTACTTCATATATAAATAATATAGTATATACAGATAGATAGGCAACTCAATGTATAAATTTCGTTTATTAGCACCACTTGCGAGTGGAGTCATTACTAATCATCATTTGGCGGTAAATTCAAATGGACACCCCTTTATCCATACCCCTTAGCGCCTCTTGCCCTTTAAGATAATACAGTTATAAACTAATTACATAATATTTTTTACATTTATAATTTCAAAAGCAAATGTTTAAATACTATTATTGTTTGCTTCCTGAAACTGTATAAAATTGACTCTTCTACAGAGAGCTATTCAGTCTTTTAAAAATAACAAACCGCCATTTGATATTGGAATGACATTTCTAATGCCTAATTTCTGATTATTAATTTGGCAATCCAAATTTGACATAACTGCAGTATATAAAATCATAATAATAAAATACAGTATAGCCCAAAATAAACAGTACTGAACTTGTATTTATTTTATTGTTTTAAAAAATACATATTATTGACATGTAACAATAAAACACTGAAAACTTTGTTTTCAAACTTCCACAAAATTTATTTTAAATATTATCACTACAGCTGTTTCGGCTGATTGCCTTTCTCAAGTGATCTATTTTGGCTTGGGTTTACAAATTTATAGTCTCTAATGAAATAAGTTGAGGACGGGAGAACTGTTTGTCTTAAGTTGGTCATTCAGAATTATATCTGTGTTTTTTAATTTGTTGATTTCCATAGATTCTAACAAAGATAGCTTAAGGCCTTTATTTTGAATGTGAAGAATTTTAAATTTGTCATTAAAAGAATGATTATGATCTAGAAGGTGAAGTGCGTATGTCGAATCTGTTTTTCTATTCTTGAAAGCCCTTTTATGTTCTGCTATTCGTTTATCAAAGTTTCTACCAGTTTGACCGATGTAAGTTTTTGGGCAGTTGCCACATTGAAGTTTGTACACACCACTATTTAAGTGTTTTTTATTTTGGCCCTTGTTATTTTTAATATATTTGCCTAGGTTGTTATTTGTTCGGAAAGCTGGTGTTATTCCTTTCTTTTTTATGTGTTTGGCAATTTTTTTGTTATTTTGCCTGTATATGTAATCGAGCAGAAGGTACTGGGTTTTTTCTCTGGTGGTGGAAATACTAGTTTCAGGGCTTTCTAGTGTAGTTTTTGATTTAACATTTTATTAATTGTTTGTTCGTTGTATCCGTTGTTTACTGCTATCTGCTTAATTCTATTTAATTCTGTCTCAAAGTTGTATTTTGACATCGGAATTTCTGTTAATCTATGTAACATACTATGATAAGCTGCCAGTTTATGTTGTGTTGGATGGGATGACGAATTGTGTATAGTCGTGTCAGTATGGGTAGGTTTATGAAATATGGAAAAGTCATGTTTGTTTTGAAGTCTGCTAATTTTTAAATCTAAAAAATTTATGGATTGATTTTGTTCTGTTTCTATTGTAAATTCAATATGACTATGAAGTGAATTAATATATGATAAAAATTGGTCGAGTTGCCTGTTAGTTCCTGTGAAACATACCAGTACGTCGTCTACGTATCTCCACCAATATAAAAACTGTTTGAATACGGGGTGTTTTGAAATCTTTGTCTCTAGATGATCCATAAAAATATCTGATAGCAATGGGCTTAGAGGATTACCCATTATAAGTCCTGCACTGTTATTTGTATAAATTTTATTATTAAATTCAAAGTAGTCCTGGTTTATGCAAACTTCAAGAAGATGTAAAATTTCAGATGTAATTATTGGATTTGTACTATTTTGGTCTAAAAGGTTTTTTACTAGAATAAAAGTTTCTGTAGGAGGGATACTAGGAAAAAGATTTTTTACGTCAAATGAAATTAATCTGGAGTTGTTAGGTAATTGAAAATGTTGTATTTTATTAACTAGTTCTATTGTATTTTTTATGGTAAATTTAGGTGAAAATTTAGTGTGGTCTAAAATAATCTCTAACAGTTTTTTTGAAATTTTATATGACGGATCTGTATAAAAAGAAACTGCAGGTATTATTGGGTGATCCGGTTTGTGTAGTTTAATGAAAGAATATAATTTAGGAGGCTGTGGGTTCATGATACTGAGGTATTTCTGTTCTATTGGATTTAGTATTGATTTTGAATTTTCTAACGCTAGCTTAATTTGTTTTTGATATTTTTCTGTCGGATCTTTGTGTAAAGTTTCAATATTTTGATTATTTAAGAATTCTATTGTTTTGTTATTATATTCTATTTTATCTATAGCAATAGTAGTGTTACCTTTGTAAACACAATGTTGTTTTCTATTGATTTATTTTTAATTGAAATTGCTGTTTTATTCTCTTTGTAACAGGAATTCTTAGTTTCACTACACACATCTGTAATAGATTTGGCAATTATACTTTTTTCGATATTGTTAGCAGTTTTGTTTAACGCTACACCTAAATTTCATAATCCTACCCATACTGACACGACTATACACAATTCGTCATCCCATCCAACACAACATAAACTGGCAGCTTATCATAGTATGTTACATAGATTAACAGAAATTCCGATGTCAAAATACAACTTTGAGACAGAATTAAATATAATTAAGCAGATAGCAGTAAACAACGGATACAACGAACAAACAATTAATAAAATGTTAAATCAAAAACTACACCAGAAAGCCCTGAAATTAGTATTTCCACCACCAGAGAAAAAACCCAGTACCTTCTGCTCGATTACATATACAGGCAAAATAACAACAAAAATTGCCAAACACATAAAAAAGAAAGGAATAACACCAGGTTTCCGAACAAATAACAACCTAGGCAAATATATTAAAAATTACAAGAGCCAAAATAAAAAAACACTTACATTCAAAATAAAGGCCTTAAGCTATCTTTGTTAGAATCTATGGAAATCAACAAATTAAAAAACACAGATATAATTCTGAATGACCAACTTGAGACAAACAGTTCTCCCGTCCTCAACCTATTTCATTAGAGACTATAAATTTGTAAACCCAAACCAAAATAGATCACTTGAGAAAGGCAATCAGCCAAAACAGCTGTAAAGATAATATTTAAAATAAATTTTGTGGAAGTTTGAAAACAAAGTTTTCAGTATTGTTCTGAAGCTATTTTCTTGTGGCATTGTGAATTAATTACTATTAAACTGGGAATAAGCCACAATTAAAGATAAAAATGCGTTTATTGACGTTTCAATTTCCACTTCGGAAATCGTTCTCAAATTTTAAGAACGATTTCCGAAGTGGAAATTGAAACGTCAATAAACGTATTTTTATCTTTAATTGTGGCTTATTCCCAGTTTAATAGTAATTAAAGTTTTCAGTGTTTTATTGTTACATAAAATGAATTTCCATCAAGTATCGGTCGAATCCATCAATTATATTATTGATACTTTATAACATGTTCTAAATGAGCTCCTTCTCTCTCAAGACAGTCTTCATACCGATATTCAAGATTTCTCGTCAGGAAATGGAATAAAGGTTATCTCAAGTCCACAAAGAAGGCTCTAACGGTATCTTTTAACTTATCGATGGTTTGTGGTACCCGTTTAAAAACGGCAGTTTTAGCCATGCTCCAAATGTATGCGTCTGGAAATGTTAAGTCTGGAGAATGTGCAGGATAGGGAAGTCAGTAAATGGTGAAATGAATTGATTTGAAAAACAAGAAATTGACGAACTGCGACAGCAGTATGGCAAGTTGCCCCATCCTACTGGAAAAATTGGTCTGGAAATGCCAAATTACGTGCACGACAAAATTAACGTAGATCGGGGATAAAGCGTGTTAAAATTTGTATGTACCTATGTTGATTAAGTGTGACTTGCCTACCATTTTCTTCGATAAAGTATGGACCAATGATTCCGTGTCCCGAAACTGCACACCAGACACTCACTTTTGCACTATGTAAAGGAACTTCTTAAACTTCATCTGGTCTGGAAAAGCCCAGAAATCGATTTGTGCGACGATTTACATGGCCTGACAAATGAAACTGTGCTTCGTCTGAAAACCATACATTTTTCAAAAATTCAAGATTTTCATAGTGTAATGCAAGAATTCTGGCACAATATTCCACTCTACTGTGATAATCCCTGGGATGTAATTGTTGATGTACCTGAATCACATACGAAAGTGCACCCATCTCCTTCAGGATTCTTTGCAAGGAAGTTCGTTTTAAGCCAAGATGCAACGCTGTTCTTGTCTGGTGGCTTTCGGATTTTCCAAGATTCGCTCAAAATCACGGTTATGGTTATCGTTATTGTTAACTGGGACGCCCTGAGTTTCATTTTCGTTGGCACAATACATTAACCATATTTCTAAGCTTTTCAACAATCTTCAAAATTACAGCATTACTTGGAAACCGTTGTGTGAATTGATCACACACGTATTGCAGACTTGGACCATTACGTCGGGCGATTCCGTATGAGCGAAAATATTGCTCCACAAGAAACACTGCCTCCTCTGTACTTAACACCATTTTTAAAAATGAGGCCTTAATAATTGTTTAAAGATTGCTTGACACGTCTATACTAGTTAATTTGAATATGACAGCGCGCACAAAGATACATCTATGTTTCAGTTTCAGTATTCAGTTTCAGTACTGTTTATTTTGGTCAATACTGTATTATTGTTCATTAATTTAGAACAAGAAAATAGTTTGAGTTTCAGTGACAACTTACTATCATCATCCACGGAATCCTATGCATTTTTGTAATATTTCCATGATTTGTACACAACAGT